TTTCTTCCTTTTTGGTGCTTCAAGCCATCCCATCCCTATATCCCTCTCTCATTTTGAAGAAATGATTTTTCCACTTGTTTCCACTATTTTTCATGCCTTATGACAACACTGCATTTTCAGTCACTCTGATGTTCATGGGTGTTGTAGAGATAACTGTTGAAAGCAGAAGGTAATGGGCTGCTCCTACCTGAAGCAGGGTGTATGCGTAGTGTCTCCAACAACGATGCAATTAGGTTGTGGCACATATGGTGGGGTGGTTTCATAGGCAGGCTTCAGTAATCAGACTACCTATAACCTGGGGGACAAACAATGAAGGCGCTGGGCAAGGCCCGCGTAACACGGCGCACACTGCCATGTTGCTCCTCGTGCAAATCAACAGCAAAACGCAAGCTAGCCAGTTAAAAATGTGTATACTGACTTACAGAAGGCACTGGAGGATAAGAGTTCCTCTGCAGGCATCCTAGCTTAGTCTGGTTCACGCACGAGACTATACTATAGTAATGCGCGCGCACCGCATTGGGGAAACGCCCTCCTCGGCACTGATGCTGAGTTAGCAGCAAATGGCGTTGTTCAGTGACTACCGTGGAAGAGCTCAACAATCTGCCGTAGTGACTTGCGGCAAGAAACAAGCGATCGCTTGGTATGCGTGCACACCTCCGGAAAATTTGGAGACGTTCTGTGCAAAAAATGAACGCTTCAACTGCTTCCGGTAAGGAGCTAGCGGGTCTGAGGAAGAAGAAGATGAAGAATAATATTATGATGTTTATGATGACTCGAAAACCGCGTAAGAGCGAATTCTCTGGTTGGGAACTGAGGGCACGTAGGAAGTCTTGGGGCATATGTATAGCTAGATATTGGCCTCTGGACTATTGCTAGTGATTTTTAAGCCATGGTGAGTCATTCTCGCTGAGTTTTGAGGCGATTTGTACGCGAATCACGTGAGATTTCACTCGTGTCATCCCTATATAGAGCGTCTACCGACGCTCTGATAATGGATGGGCATAGTACCTAGCATAATATGGGGCTATTATGTTTGGGAATGTTTTTCATCTTCTTCAGATTCAACACCCATAACTAAAAACTAAATAACATATAGTCATGAAATTCTGTAAGACTGTAGATATCCATAACCAGATGTTCATGGTCATACTTTTTTGTTTGTAAACAATGTTGTTTACTGTAAACAATGAAAAAGCACTAAAGTGCAAACCCTCGGCGCAAAACGCGCCCGTTGTAGCGTTGCTGTATGCTGGGCCATGTGTCGTCGACGGGGCCAGTAGAGTCTCCCCGTAACACAGGCTAGATGCATCAGAGGGCTTAGCAGTTACAGCAATTGCTCAGGTGTTTCAGAGGCTCTCACATTTTCAATCTATCTGCTCTTCTGTGTTTCAATGCTTGCGACATACTGCCTTTTAGCGTTTAGACGGAAGTCATGGCCGCATCCACAAACTGCTCGTCTCATGTGAACTGTTATGCTACATTGCAGACATACCTTTCTCAGCTTCTTGTCCATTCTTGGGAACAAAGAGAACAGAGATCAAAAGTGACAGAGGAGAGACACCCAAGCTTGCCCGGCTGTCGGATCCTATGCAACCGCGTGGCGTATGTGCATGCTCCTGACATGACGCGTGCACGCCAGCGTAGCCTGCTGGCGATGGCGCGTGCGCGATCAATCGCACGTTGGCTTTTTCGCTTGTTCTCACACCATATCTCTGGAACGCAGTCGTTTCAGGAAAATGGCCACATTAATATCAATGTTCTCGTTGCTCAAAAGCCGTTGTTGCCCCTCATTGGCCGCCTCGTAGCCTGTAGTGCGAGAACTCGCACAGACAGACGGACAGACAGACAGACAGACAAACAGACCAAGTACTGCAACCCTCGCTGCGCATGCGCGCCGAGGGTTAACAACAAATAGCCCCAGGATAATGGGGACACATGTGTCAGTGTAAGTCACAAATGGTAAGAGCTATGCAAACAAAACTTTGTATGTATAATGTATTTCAATAACCAACATCAAAGACACAACATATTTGTAGACAACAACAAATAGCCTCAGGCACTTTTCTTAAAGTTACATCTTCACTCCTCAAACTTGCAAACAGTACCACGCATTGATATAAAACTTGGTACACATGCGGGTAACATCATCTCCATGACGACTACATGTTTACCTACATGTTTGTAAACAACAACAAATAGCCTCAGGCACTTTTCTTTAAAATTACAGTGGGTCCCGGTTAATATCATCCAAAAAATATTATAATATGCGGGATATTCTACAATGCGGGTGTGTATATATATAGGTTACACTATGCCCACGAGACGGTTTAGTGGACATGCGCAGCATGAGTAGTCTATGCACTAAACCGTCGAGTGGGTGTAGTGTAACCAATTTGTACCACAGGAATGCACACTAAGACAACTGATTAGTATGCATGCCATGGTGTATGAGAGCTCATACACCACATGTGAGTGTATGGCTGAGTCAGCACACCATACACCATGGCATGCATACTAATGAGTTGTCTTTGTGTGCATACACTGCGTGCGGTGCCTTTGATTTCTAGGGCTTCTGTGGTACAAACCAACGTATACTTCGACCCAGATAGCGCACAATGCAGTTTGTTTAGCAAAGCTAATCAAGCTAGGCTAGGCTAAGCTGTTTTTACATAAGCTAATGGTAGCCAGGTGGAGAATGGAGTTACAAAACTCCAGTAGAATACCTAATTACGCATGCGCATAATGACAATACACGGGCAAGAACCAAAATTGCCCAATTTTTCTATGGTAATAGGCGGGATATGACATTATTCGTATTCTATAAAACGGAGTAAAATGTATGGGATAGGAAATGGATGGATCGTCTTCTTCGTGGGAATGTTCCCTATTGTCAAAGTGTTAGCAAAATAATATAATTGAAGCATGTACTTCCAAAGGGGATATTCTGTATGATATTAAGTGGGACCCACTGTACTTCTTCACTCCTCAAACTTGCTAACTGTAACACGCATGGAGATGAAACTTCCTACGCAGCTATGCATGCATATTACATTCTTTCCATGACGACCATATATTGTATGAACAACAACAAATAGCCCAGGCACTTTTCTTTAGAATTACTCTCTCTCACCATCCTCCAAGCTGAAGACGTTGTGGTATATACCCAGTGAATAATTCCAGCAGTGTCCGCTTCTCTTGTTGTAGCAGCTCCAAGAGTTTCTCTTTGCGTTCCCTCTCATCTTCGTGTGCCTCCTCTTCTGCATGGATTGTCACGGTGAAGATTCTTGCAGGGTAATGCTCAGGTGACTCAACAACCATAGCTGGGGTGGCGCCGCCAAGGTACTCTCCAGATGATGTGTAAATCCAGTTGAGTTCGATAGGCTTCATCTCTAGTGCGATCGATCACGACATCCTCAGCACGGATGCAAAGATACTCTTCCACATCCTGTCGGTACTGGAGAAGGAGCGGCCTGGGTTGAGAGTAGTCAGCTTCAGGGGCAACTTGGGCCATCACAGACTGATATGGAGGTGTACTCGTACAGACGTAACCAACCTGACACGGACTATCGGTACAATTGCATCGTCTCAAATGGGTCTCAGTTTCACAGGAGACAGTCGTTGGGGACGTAGAACTCTAACAGTCTGGTCCCGGTCTGTCTGAGCCGTAGGTGTTCAACGTCTGGAGAGTCTTGTACCGTGTTGGAGGGTTGTCCAGTTTGCTGTCCCGCCTTCTCCCTTTCTGGCATGGTGTCAGTAGGCGGTGGTGCTTCAGTACCAGACCAACTCAGTACACTTTGATGACACTTCACTTGTCCTCTTGTATTTTGCAAGTTCTGATAGTCCTTAGTCTCCTCAGGAATTGAAGATCCTTTTGGTCGGCTGCTGGAGACTTTCCGACAATCAAACTAGCGAATTCTTTCCGCCAATCCAGAGTCACAGGCTTTACCTTCCACTGTCAGTGTCATCCAACTACACAGACACATCACAGCAGCTAGCAGGTGCCGTGGTCGGGAGTAGTTTACCACTAGCATTTTCCACAGCTAGAGGACCTCGCACTGTAAGACAGGGTGCAGCGTGAGCACGAGTTTTACTATGGTCACAGCAGTGCCCCCCCATACAGTACACTTTGATTACACTTCACTGCAGGCTTCTGTTGTGTCCTCTTGTATATTGCAAGTTCTGATAGTCCTTACTCTCCTCAGGAATTGCAGATCCTTTTGGTCGGCTGCTGGAAAACTGCTGCCTCCTCACCAACATTTGGAGGCTTGAAATTTGGCATTGGTGGAATCCTGTTCTCCTTTCAAGTCTTCTTACTGGATACCGAGGAGTGATGCGTGATTATTATTTGCTGCCAACACACACCCTCCCCCAGCAACAGCTCATCTTCTGCCGCAAACTTGATGTAGACAGGTGTGCATGTTGTGATACCGTTGAAACTAATGTCAAGATCTACACGTCCATTCAGTCAGAACAGGCTCTCCGCGAGCTACTAGCAGGAGACCACAAATTAAACGGATACTAATAGCCCAGCCCATCAATTAGTGGCATCGCGCGCAGTTCGCTGAGGGCTTGCACTTCAGTGCTTTTTCTTTTTTTTTCATGTTTAAATAACCCTTCATTTTGATATCTGTCTTTTAATTTGCAGGTTCCTACAAATTCTAATTTCCACTGTGCGGGATGCAAAGTAAAGTTATCCAACAAAAACAAATTTTTTCATGAGCGCAGTGTCTGCGTCCAGTTCTTAACTCGTATTTATGGTTACCAACCTCTTCTCTACACCCAGTCTCGTACTGATCCTGTGACTACTGAGATCCCTTCAGTGAATGAATATGGAAAATGTTTTAAGCCGACCTGACGGCGTTTAATAGCTGGCCATCCCAGCACGCTTGTGATTAACTCTAGATAAACTCCCTAACTGCATGGATTCATAAAACTGCTTACCTAAAAAGATGTTTATCGCGGCCATGTCCGCCATTTTGTTCCTTTTCCATGATTGACACGCGCATGCATTTTGTGATACTACGCGCATGCGGATGCAGTAGAGCTTGGAGACTCCCACTCCACTACTTTGGCCTAGCGGCTCTTCGACAAGCACACTGCTATCGGATATATACTACGAGTTTTATTTTTGTTGGCATAATTATCATTTATACACCACTTTTTAAAATAACCATGCGGCTTCGGGTAGCTAGCTGAAATCGTTGGGCTCAGAGAGTATAGCTATACCCCCCCTCCTTTGCAGCAACATAGCTAGTAGGACAACATGAGGATTGCTTATCTTCAGTTGTACTTGCGTACAATACTGAACACCACAACAGGGCACAAACGCTCAGTACAACAGGAAGCATCGTTGTGGTATAAACAGGAAGGCAAGCGGAGTATTATCAGAGCCTGACCCTACCACGCCTTAGCATCGTTTGACAGGAAGCCAAGCCGGATGTGATGTGTTATTGCTGAGCGCCTTAGCGCGAGGCGCGCTAGGTCAGTGCGCGAAGCCGCGTTCGGTCAGTGTAATTATGTGTACGTCACGCTCTTCTACGCATGCGTGCGTGGACGTGACGCGTCGCAGGTCGTCAGCGGGTTTTTCGAAAAGTGCTTGATTGAAGTAGACTCCGATGCGAGTGGTCAATCAGCATGCTCAAACTGATCAAAACATCCTTGAGCAGCACTATGACCCAGGACCGACTATAGTTGCTATGATGGCGATATAGACATTGATCCGCAAGACGTTGTCAAAGAATTTTAACAGCGCCATCCTTGCTGAATGTTGCTTGAGTAAACTCCTGGTTACTATGTGATGTACCTATTACTATGAATATTTCAATCAAAATCCAATAAAAAGAGGCACATTGTAGCTAGAAAAACGGGAATGCGCGACAGGATGTTTGCGCATGCGCATCCGTTGGCTGGTAATACCACAAGGATGCTTGCTGATGTACTGAGCGTTTTTGCCCTGTTATGGTGTTCAGTATGGGCCTACCCAAGTAAAACTGAAGGTAGGCAATCGTCGTGTCTATTGCTGCAAACGGGGTTTGGTTATAAACGGGATATATAAGCTCTGAGCCCAACACAACGACATTAATCAGCTAGCTGCACGAGCCGCATGGTCATTTTAAACTTTACAAATGCAAATATCATTTCTTCAAAATGAAGGGGGATATAGGGATGGCTCAAAACATGAAAAAAGGGTAATTATACAGCTGAGACACGCAGGGCTACATGACTTAGTCTCATTGTTTTTTTGCCTATGAATCAATAGAACAATGATATTATGAAATAGAACAAAGATATAGGGATGGTGTCATGTAGCTTTGCGTGTCTTAGCTGTGTAATGACCCCTTGTTCTTCCTTTTTCATGTTTTGAGCCATCCTTATTCCCCCCTTCATTTTGAATAAATGATTTTTCCATAATTTTGTGTAAACAATTACTGACTATGGTCACTCTGATGTAAAGGAGTTGAATGAACTGATTCAAGTTGTTGGCAACTGCCTGCACATTAGAATCTAGCATGATGAGTTAGGGAGGAAGGGACACTGAAATACCAGCATAGTATATGTATTAGTTATTACACCCCTAAGAGGTATGTTGCTGGTTTATAGGCCCGACGCCAGAGGGCGCGTAGCGCCCGAGGGGGAGGGCCTATAAACCGCAACATACCGATATTAGGGGTGTTGTGATAATTGGTTTATAGCCGTTTTCCGCGCGCGGCATCCGTATACTGCAGTATACTGACCGTATACGCAGTTTGAAATCTCGTTTGAAAATGGCGACGTCTTCTAGAAGCTCGAAGAATCTGGACCTACTTGTCCCGGACGGGTGGGCAGAGAGCGATCTATCCTCGGAGGCGGAGCCACGCCTAAAGAGAAAACGTCTCTCCTTGCGTAATAAGACTAACCAGACGGAGCCACGTACGACGGACCCGGGAGAGCCGCGTAAACCGTTTGACGTCGGAGGAAGAGGCCGCTCTCTCTCTGAGAAATGTATTCCTAAAAATACAGCAACTAGTACCAAATGGGCAGTTGCCAATTTTGAATCTTGGCTGTAATAGAAGAAACGAAACCTTCGTGCTACTGAATGTATACCAGGCAGGTGCCCTGAGAAGTGATCAAGAGCGAACAGGCACCTCTCTTTGTCCGGTTTACGTCAGTACGAAACGCACTTGCGACAAGCAGCACGGGCTGTATCCCAGATCCTGCTGCAAAGGAAAATGTGTCATTCAGCAGCAAGTTAGCATGAAATCACATTCATTGGTGCATATGCCAATTCCAGCTCCTCATATTCCTTTTCTAACTGTAATGTCACGTTTAATACAGTTCACCCTGGTTATCAGCCCCCTGTGGCTTCTTCAAGTGTTTTTTGTGATATCACTAACTCTAAAACTCATGATTAGAGTCACTGAGTCATTGTAAGTCATGAAATTCATGAAATCTTGTTGCAACAGATATAGCCCCTGGTTATATGCCCCCACACCTAGTTATAGCCCCTCTTGACACCTACTTTGTGGTTTAGTTGATTTACAGTGTTATCAAATGTATGGAACCACTCTAGGTAGGCTATAAGCAGTAACTAATGGCATGAAGGGGCAGCATAATATAATATATAGCTATATACCCAGGGAGACAAAGACTGACCAGCTAGAGAGTGTAGCTAATTAGGTTGTAGTGTCATTGTATACAGAGGTGATTTCATGGGCACCCTTAGTATGGGGCAAAAACAATGGAACGTAACGCAGATTTCATAATGTGCTATTATCTGCTGGTCTAAAAATGCACACGCACTGTCATGAATGTAGTCTCGGGGAGCAGCCCTGTCTAAAGTACACTGTTGTGCGCGTGCATCAGGTAACATCCCTGTTGCAGCAAATGGCGTCATTGAGAGTCTACCGTGGAAGGGCTACAAGAGATACAGTAGCGAGTGCCGATGACAAAGAAACGATCGGTTATCATGGTCACATCAGTGTGACCAAGTGTGATGTGGGAGAGCACCCACCAGTAACTGCACGTTATAGGCACGATACCATTATAGTGCGTGGGTGGCTGAGCGTATGTTGTGATTGGTACAAACGTGCGATTTTTTTTCGTCATTAACTTGTATCAATGTGATACCGAACAGTCGGTGTACTCAGTTGAATTGAGAGTAGAGGAACAACTCACAAGTTATGGCATGGGACAAATACGTCATCACAAGCTTTTAACTTCAGAGATTAATGATGTTGTATGGTGTGATAGTAATAGTAAACGAACTGAGGGTGTGAAGTTTGTGGTTTATTTATATTCTAGTTTGCAAAAGCTATACCTCCTCGATCGAAATACATCTGTTATGTCAGAATCCCTGACTCTTACTCACTTGCAAATGTGTGAAAGTATCACTTAAAGCATGACAGCGTCAGCTAAAAAGAAACTTCTAGTGCAGCAGGGGGGCACATGAGTAGCATCGCTGGGACAGCTAACATACGCCATTGCATATGGCAACTAGATGGATGTTAGGTGTTGGACAGTGTGACAACAAACCACATATGCTCCGCGTACATCCCTTCCCCAACAAACATAATGTTGAATGACTGACTCAGTGTGATGGACTGCACACTACATAAACAAAGAAAAACCAAAACCACACACATACAACCGATGCATATGAGAGTAGCATTCTAAAAGAAACCTATACTCTGTAAGTAATTTATGTTAGTTAGTCATAAACAAATAGCTCTGAGTAACTCCGTGTATGCTGTTCGAGGAACCAGATACGTAGGCATGTGTAAGTTCTCTAGCCGTATCAGCTCAGCTTGTAAGGTCGTAGCTACACATATCTTATCAATGACTACACATACTTCGAGAAATTAGGGGTCAGTCAGCACCGTCTTATGATATACGAAAACATTGCAGCATCTCAGAGTTGCTGTGCAGATTATTTTGTTATGGGTGTCGCTTCTGGTAAATATTATTTCACGCACAAGCAAGATGAAAAGCACTGAGTGCCAAACCCTCAGGCGAACTGGCGCATATGTCGCGCGGTATATTAGTATGCGGTCTCGCCTTAGTATAATATAGCTGCCGCATGAGTCTGACACCTCGGCTGCAGCGGACCGCTAGTAGATTAGCACGCACAGTCGCATAACACGCCCGTTCGCGTGATCTCTTGTGCTGCTCTTCGGAATACACAGCGCACAGCAGTACCGGTCCTGTGCTAAATAGAGCGCTATGCGCGTTTCCGTTCCGCAGCGATAAAATGCGGACTTGACGCATTAGCCGTACAATGGTGGAAGCGCTCAGCGTGTGGCAACGGAGCGTGTCAGACGCAAAACCTGGTTCTAATTTTCTGTCTTTTCTGACCTTCATGCCCGTTCGTAGTGGTGTCCTTGTGAGACGAAAGAAGATGAAGAGGGTTTATCAGACACACACAGACCGCCAGACAGACACCACAGACAGACCCACTGACTGTACCTCGCTGCGCATGCGCGCCGAGGGGCGGTTAAAATGGGATACCTTCCATGTTTTTGTGCAAATTAGATCAAGTCAACTTTTGCGAGCGTCTTATGACTTTTATCTCAGTGTCATCATCTATAACTGCTACCGCGCACGTACGCTATAGCATACTCTAGAGCTCGAGAGCTGTATAACCCTCGCGCGCGCCTGGTGGGTTTTTATGCGCAGCGAGGGTGTAACGGTACTTGGTTGTTGTCTTGTGCTGTGTGTCCGGTCAACGTCTGCAGATGCTATTATTGAAGCTGAACATTTTATCGTCACTGATATTAAGCAGGTCATCTGTTGGCGTGGTGGTATACAGCCATTACGGTCATAAATTGGTATCATCAGTTTGATGACCGTCGATTTCGTATAATGAATAATAGAACGAATAACATTCCCCAAAGAAGTGACAGTAGGAATCGTGGGTGGTATAGTGAGCTAACAACATCATCTTCATAACAACAACTGAAACTATGTTCCGTTTGA